CGACATATTGTATTTTTATGTTATTGTACGTCTTCCCCTCCCATAAGTTGTTAGCCGCCCTGAGTCCCCTCAGGGAAAAGGGCGGCCTATAAATAAACGCAACTGAAACTGAAACTGAATAAGATATTGTTTCAAGAAGGAAAATTAGCCAAATTCAAAATTTGGTCATAACAAAGTATTATTCATATAAATCCTCATAAAAGATAATGATTTTTTTGAATTCTCTGGAGTTCATCATTAGAGATACCACTGAAGAAAGCAGAGGTGGAATACATATTACCTGGCTAGCTGGTTCAGTGGCTAAGATGATCAGAAAGATCAGCAGTTCGAATCCCTAATATACGTAGGTCTCTTGTGTGAGCAGTGGGTTAGACTAGATGACCTCCAATGTCCCTTCCAACTCTGTTACTATTAAAACTGTTAAATCATATTCAAGAAACAGGCCTAAGTCTGAGGGATTCTTGAGAATAAAGGATGAGCTATTAAAGAAACTACTATATCAACTTCATAAATTTAAAAATAGACAGTCTTAATAATTTAACCTAAAGTACCCAGGGGTGGATTTCAAATTTTAGCAAGGGATTCTCTGCCCGGTTGCCGGGTGGATGTAGGCCAGTTGGCCTCCTGCACCATGGCGGGCGGAGGCACCTTTGCCCTCCCTGGGATCCAGAGGCTTTGCTTGAGCTTCTGGGAGGGCGAAAACGGCCTCCCTAGGCCCCAGAGACCCTCTGGAGGCTGGAAACGGGCCCGATTCTGGCTTTCTCGAACTTTCTGTAGGCCGATTTTTCACCCTCCCCGAGCCTCTCCGTGTGCCCTGCACTTACCTGCATCCAAAACGGACCACGTGTGCACTCCTGGGAGGGGCGGGGTGGGCGGGGCGAGCCAGGAGGGAGATTTGGAGGTTCTCCAAACTGCATAGAATCTTAGGTAGAGGTTCTCCCAAACCCCTGTGAACCCCCAGCAGCCCACCTCTGAAAGTACCTATGGTGAATTTGTGCAATTCTGTGGTTTTGACATTTTTGAGTGGATTTAGGAAAATGAAGGAAAGCTTGGTCTTTCTTTCCAGTTCTGTATGTTAACTTAACAACAGCCCTCACAGTTTTAAGAACTTTAATTTTGTTTTCTGACATTACTTGAGGACACAAGAGAACGTTGTTAATTTAATTCTACATTAATGTTAATACAAAATATTTGCTTTAATTTAGTTTTGTCTCAGAATCATGCCTCACAGTTTTTGGTCAGAAAACGTCGTGCAAATTCCTTTATGGAAGAAAGCAAGAAGGGGAATATGGAGAGGGAGTGTATTGAAGAATACTGCAATAGAGAAGAAGCCAGGGAAATCTTTGAAAATAACCCCGAAACGGTAAGAGCTCTCCGACCTTTGGTGTTTTGTTCCCCAAAATTCAAATAATCATGGCAGAGAAATCATCCTCATTTTGTCCTAATCATCACACACACACATGCCTTGGTAACCATGTTTTGCCATTTGTCTTTGTGATATTGAACTCACTATTGTTCAAGCAATCAAAAGTTGTATTTTGTTTTTTCAATTTGAAATTAGCAGTTTTCCTCTTGTTCCTACACATTGTTTGCTGTGGACCAGATCTGGGATGCTTCACTGTGGTTGCTAGGGTAGGGCTGCCTTAATGTATGGGATAATGGGCACTTACTTGTGGACCCCATGACCATAGGTGGCCCACACTAATCTGTGTATTTTAACCAGGGCTTTAAAATTTTTAGCAAGGGGTTCTCTGCCCGTTTGCTGGGTGGGTGTGGCCATGGTGGGTGTGGCCTATGCAGCGTCATGCACCACTGTGGGGGGGGCGTTTTTGACCTCCCTGGGCTCCAGAGGCTTTCCTCGAGCCTCTGGGTGGGCAAAAACGGCTTCCCAGGACTCTGGAGGCCTTCTGGAGTCAGAAAATGGGCCTGTTTCTGGCCTTCCCGAACTTTTGGTAGGCCTGTTTTTTCACCCTGTCCCGACCCTGCGCACGCACCCTGCACCTACCTGCATCCAAAAGGGGCCATGTGGGGACTCCTGCAAGGGGCCAGCTAGGAGTGGGATTAGGGGGTTCTTCAAACTGCACAGAATCTTAGCTAGAGGTTCTCCCAAACCCTTGCGAACCCTTCAATGCACCTTGTATCATATAAGTACAGCAACTGTATGGCTTACTGAGTATTATTATGTTTTTCAAGCCTCGTGTACTGTTCAAATGTTTATTATGTTGATTAGTTGTTGCTGCACAGCATGTTTTTAATGTTTCAACACTGATTTTGTTGGAAGTGCCAATAAAATAAATATATGTTTAATTTTATCAACCATTTACATTTTTATTCCTGTGAGTACTTGTCAAAGAGGCCCCAGTACACTGCTTTGCCTGGGGCCTACAATGGTGTTAAGATGGCCCTGTACTACAGTGGTTAATGGTTGGGATTTGCCAAGGGTACACTGGACATATCTTCTATCTGGCCTGTTGTGAGCCTAGAATGCCCATGGGCAATTTTCTGCAGAGATGTTCTGGTTCCTTCAAACCAGACCACCCTTAAGTTCTATGGCATTGCAATAAAATGGGTTCCAGTGAACATGTTATAACAGTGAAATATATGAACATTGCTTTTAATGCATACATTTTCAAAATAATAATTTTCCACATCCATTTATTTACATTAAAAAGCAGAGATTAAATTTATGATATTATTTAATAACATAAAATATAGAAAACTATGTTTTATAACCTTATAGTCCAGCTATTAATCATCATTGTTTTATTTTAAACAATTAAACATTATTTTAAACAAACCATTTATGCTTTGATTAATTATCAATTAATATACATTCTAATTCATTTCTTTTTTTAAAAAACAGGATTATTTCTATCCCAGGTATTTAGGTAAGTTTACTATTTTTTTAATGTATGTTACTGTTTAAATGGTAATGGTTTTTGCCACAACTAAAAATTGCTTTGCTATGTAACAAAGCTTTCTTTGTTACATAGAGTGCATTACAGATGTATCCTTGAACAGTTTTATTTTTCTGTTCACTTATACCAGATTTTATGCAATCAAGATTATTCTTTGTCTCTATTAATTCAATACGGGCACATATTTCTTCAGTATGAACCAGTGGCAGTAGCTTAGCAGTTTAATAATAAATTACACTATTACATTAAAATAAGACCTCACAACAAAGGGAGAGCGGAAATGATTATGCAGGGCCTGAAAAAGTGACAGAACATGGAGCCTAGTAAATTTCTGAAGTGAAATGGGCATACAAGGGCCTAGTAGAAGTGATGCTGTTCCATGACTCATGTGATTATTTTTCTTTTACAATACTAAGTAAATCTTATCTCTAAATAATACAAATGCCAGTCAAAATAGGGTTATTTGTATGACTTTATTTCCACGAAGAATTAAATTTTCTAGGTACACCCCTAAGTAAACGTAACTGCAGTGTTGGTTTCTTGTTCCTTCTCTCAATCTGTTGTTTTTGCAGAGATGGGTTAATTATTAGTGGAGACATTAGCATATACAAAATGTGAAGTATCAGGATTATGACAACAAGGGGTATAGAACAAATGAACAGGCATATAATTCAAAATTTTCTAATTTATTATAATGAAGCTAAGAAGCCACAATGGAAAAAAAAATAAAGTTACTTCCATATATAAAATGCAAGTTATATTTATTCTGCTAAATTGCTAAATCATACAAATCAATTTATATTTTTTGTTCCTTTTTTATGTTTGACTGAAGTAGAAGGTTAGAAGTGATCCTCTTTTGCATGTATCCCTTGTTCTGGTAAAACGCCAGATCTGCTTCAGGTTATTTGCTTTTCAACATGTGAAATCAAAATCATCAGCATTCATAATAAAACTAGAAGATATAACATTGTGTAAATACTTGCCAAATACAAAAACCAGTTCAATTTTTTCAGGCTATGAGAAACTCCTTGAACTCCGGGGTTTTGCTACCATTTTTTCAATTCCCTACTTTTATCAGAAACTGTCAGAAAACTGACTGATTTGTATAACAGCACAGTAAATTTCACATGCCATTAAATCTTGGATCAAACTGTTCACTGTAAGGAAAAGGAAAAAAACTGATAAAACTCCGTCATTCATTTAAATAATACATTTAAAAGTGCACATTTCCATAACTTCAGTGAGAAGAAATATAGGTCAGGAAGCCCTGTACCATGTAATGTTGTTTTTAGTGGCTATAGCAGGTCAATAAATTGAAGGTGATTAATGCTTTCACAGACTGTCTGGCTTCATTCAGAACTGGAATTTTCAGAATGCCATCACTGACTCCAGATTCTCCAACTGATCTGCGGTCCTGTGTAACAGGTATGATTTCTTACACATTTTAGACAGAGGTGGTATTCATCCAGTCCTCTCCGATTTGGGCGAACCGGTAGCGGCTGCTGCAGGAGGCTTCTCCCAATCACCCGACATAATGCATGACCTTTTGCACATGCGCAGAAGGTGGTGTGCATGCGCAGAAGGTGGTGCACATGTGCAGAAGGTGGTGCGCATGCGCAGAAGGTGGCACATGTGAGAGAGCGAGCATGAACGCTCACATTTGCGAACCAGTAGCGAAGATAAGTAAATCCCACCACTGATTTTATACTTTCTGAACTAAGATGGAAACTATTATGTAAAATAATTGCAATTAGTAATGCAATTGATTGCATTAATACATTTACCTAGTTCCTTTAATACAACAATGGGAAATATTTAGTTTAATATTTATTTTAATAAACGAATGAAAAGTGTATGAAAGAAATTGGGGAACAACTTGAGTGAAGTTCTTTTCCTTTTGACTTTTCTTCCTGTAAAGGGTTTCTTCTTGTATGTAATGATGAAATTATAGTCTGGTTCTCCTTCAGATTACAAAAGGAAATTGAAAAGCTCCAAAGTACAGTTTATATTTTTATTCTTCAGTAACTGTTTCTGTCTTTTATCCATGAGAACACAGAAGGCCTAGAGGGAATCATTTTTAATTATCTTACCTGAGGACTGGACTGCTGCACTAAAGTTTGTGCAATCTCAAGTTAAATTGTGTTCTTATTCATTCTTCCTTGATGTGTTCTGTATTGTCATTAAAGACTCTGGGGACTGAATCAGTGATAAGCATGCCTGAGCATGTTATCTTGCTAAATAGTCTCTAGTGACAATTAATTCTCTGATGTTCATTTCCCCCATCAATTGTGCTTGTGTCATAGCACATGCTATTGGGACAACAGGAAATGCAAAACAAACACAAATCTATCAATTGATTACAATGGCATCCCTAGCTTACACATATATTGAAACAAATTTGCTTGTAGCCTCAGCAGAGCACCTGACAAGTACAGTAGGTATTTGTATGTCTCAGTGCTGCCAGTTAACACAGACCGAGTTTACTGAGCCAAAATGTGGTTTCTTTATTTTTGGCATAATCTACAAATACATTGTGAGTCAATGACTTCTCTAGGAAGAAGGATGTCTGAGAATTCTCTTTCACTCAGCTTTGTCATTAGGCTAAAGTAGCATGGATTTTTTATTTCATTTTTAGCTGGTTCACTCACTAAGACCAGTCCTGGGCAAATACCTATTCATAAATACAGTGTTTTGTTCAAACTTGGCAATTTAAGATGTGGGGACTTCAATCCCAGAAATTCTTAGCAAGCCAGCAAGTTCACTTACCTCAAAGTTGCCCTGTTTGAAAACATAGATATAAGGCATGTTCTAGTATTTTTTCAGTTCATTTGTTGTAATAGTACTTTGAAAGTGACTTTCTTTGGTAAGAGTTTAGGATTTTCACATGGTCAGAATTTTTAATATCCTGATATAACATTTGGCTTTAAACATTCACATGCTATCTTAATGTTACAATACCTAGTTCAAATAGGTATATATTTCATATATAAAATCCTAAATGATTTATGACACAATGGTATTACTATGCTTATGTAATCCTGTTGAGGGAGCTCTTCTGGTGATACTATCATCGATTGAAATGGAGACATCAAGGACAAATAACAGCTTTCTTAGTGGTAGCAATTTTGTCTCTGTGACTTTCTCCATGCAGAGGTTTAAACAAATTTGCTGCCAAAATTAGCTACCTAGGGAAAAAAGGAAGAAAGAAGCTGTTTCTGCCAACTTTTTGATTAATTGAGTTTATATGGAAAATAAGAACAGATTATGTTTTGGTAACTTTTTTTTACTCTCAATATAATATTTTATGAAATTTTAAAATGTTAATTTTATAAATTGTGATAATTTTGTAATTACATAGGAAATTTCGTAAATAAATTCAATAAATGGGTAGCATTCACTTACAAGAGATCAGAAGTTTGTTCCGCATTGCATCTGAAAACAAGCTGAAAGGTCCAGCAAAAATTATAATTGCATCTGTAGGATATCTTCAGTCATTGAAGTCCTTTCTTTTTTAGGATGAAAATGAAGAAACAGAATTAAAAGAGAGCTGGTTATAATATTAGCACTTTTCTGATTCTGTAATCTTCCTGCAGTAATACCAGACCAGTGTAATCCTTTGCCATGCAATATGGAGGGTTATGAAGAATGCAGAGATGGACAAGCCACATTCACATGTATTTGTAAACCAGGATGGCAAGGAGGGAAATGTGAAGAAGGTATGGTCACTAAACTAACTGATAACAGGGTGTATCTTTTCATCATATATTTTCATGTTGAATATTCATGTGTCAGTTCAGCATGTGACAGTAGGTTGTTTTCTCTCCCCCACCAGATATAAATGAATGTGATGACCCTATAAAGAAAAATGGAGGATGTGATCAAATTTGTGTTAATTTTCTTGGAAGCTACCGCTGTTACTGTGAAGATGGTTATTATATAGAGCCAAATAAAATGGGCTGCAGTGGTAAGGAAAAAGTCAGAAAGCACAAATGACAACACACTGGAAACAAAAGTTCAATTTATATTATGAAATAAGACTAAAAGGCTAAATCATAATGTCAATGGCTATACAAGCAGATTTCAATGCACCTGTTCTGGACATTAAATGGGAACATAGGAAACTGTTGCATATCGAGTGAAACTGCAGTAATCTAGCATAAGGTTGTCAACAGCAGCATTCCAGCTTTCAGACAAGATTTGTACCAGCCTGACAATCTTATATTTAGAATGTCCTCAATGCCCGATCACAGTGATGGCTAAAATTTTTGTCATCAAGTGGAGAAAGTGTGTGCGCAACAGTACATGCGTGTGCCCACACCCATAATGCAATGCGTATGCAATCCACCCATGGGCTCTTACCTCCATGCATGCGCACATGACATCCCACCCATGCTCCCCCACCCCCCTGCGCAGACACCCCACACCTTCCCCTCGCCCATTTTTGGTTTCCAGGTTAGTCCAGGAGGCTTTCAAGGCCCAAAATGGGGCATGGGGGAGGTGCCCCTCCACCACATTTTGGGCCTGGAAGGCCACCTGCGTCAACCTGAAAGCCAAAATATGGCATGGGGGTGCTGTCTAAGACCCCAAAATGCAATGTGAGTGCCTTTATCCCATGTTGGGCTATGGATAAGGATTATTACATTTAATTAACAAGTGGAGAGTGTATATACTTCCAAAACAAACCCCTGCCTAAATATAATCCTTTCTATACATGTTGGATTGTGCATTTTATTACTCTATGGTCCATGCTAGATGATATTAATAGAATTTCAGAAAGCCTAACTTAGAATGAGAACATGAAAGAAACCTTACACAATTCATGAAAAATTAAACTAGCAATAATGTGGAAAATGAGATAACAATCCTCAACAATTTAATGAACATCTGAGAATCAAATCCTTACAATTAGTAAAATGTCCATATCCTATTAACTTTTGCATTGTTTGTGTTTTATATGTTTATATTGTCCATAATTTCTTGTGGTTAGTTAACATTTAACGAACTTTTCCATCTTTATTCCATTGTATAAAATTGCAACGGAATAGAAAAGTAACAATTCCCTTTTTGGGGAAATTAATGCACACTTTATATGTATAGACAGGAATGAATGCACATTGTATCAAAACATTTGTGGGACAGCACAGTGCAAAAATACACCTGGGAAGTATATATGTGAATGTGAAACTGGTTTCATCTACAATTCAACTACAAAGAAATGTGAAGGTATATATATTTATTTTCAGTAGATTCCTAAACAAAATACTAATTTGTCTTTTGTAGAGAATTTACTATAATTTTCTATAGAGATAATTGTCATTTTGATTTCATGTAAATTCCATGTTGCAAAATATATGTTATATAAATATGCCGTGTCTAGGTTTGTATAGAACGTAAATATGTTATTTATATCTAAAATGCAAAAGTTAAAATCACACGCACAGCAAACATATAGACCATAAAATAAAGCATGTAACCCATATGTGCTTTAGTCTATCAATGTTAGGAAATGATAAAATTCTGAGACGAAAAATTCATTAAATTACTTTTTTTAAGATTACTCTGTATACCTTTGTTCCTAATTCTTTATGATACCAGAATTCTCCAGCCTGAGAAAGGCCAAAAGAGAACTTTGTATAAGGGGCTTCAGCCTTCAGAAAAAGTCTTAAAACCTAGCTATGCTGACTGGGTCCTGAAAAAACTGCTCCTGGTTTGAGATGGTTGGTATACTAAGAAAAAAGGCACCTCGCCTCTCTCTCCCAAATCCTTGTTTTAGCTTTTTTATTATTGCAATTTTAATTTTAACCCATTTTTATATTTAAAAGCTCAGAACAATTGTTTTATCTTGATGCAAGCTGCTCAGATTTGTCTGAACTGTGAGATTGGCAGCACATAAATTTGATAAACAAATAAGATTTTTTTTCAAAAAGTTTTAATGCTGCGTTTCACATTGCCATATGCCTCCAAATTCTTGAATGTGTTTGGCCAATACAATAGAGAGCTCAATTTGCTTTATCAAGATAATTTTGGTCAGCTCACATTTTCTTTCTGGAAAATTGCTTCCCAAGGTTTCTCAAGTATTCAGAATTTGCACACAGATGTACACATCTATGATACAGTTGAATTGAACTGGTTTTTGCTATAAGTAGTGTATACTGTAATTCCAAATACTATATTTAAGATGTTATTGATTTAATATGTAATATGCAGTAATAGCATATAAAACTTTGAGTATTATTGAACAATGCAAATTTATTATTATTATTTCTCTATACTCAGCAATTTCCTTAGCAAGAATACCTCAGTTCAATTACTGTTTTTATTCATTAGCCTTTTCCACAGTATTCATTTACTAATAATTTTCTAGTTGCTTATTTAATGAGTGAAACTTGGGGAAAAAAGCTTAAACTATTGGAATTTAGAAACAGCAGTCTTTTCTAAAGCAGTCTATCAGTAAAGGATATTTTGCATACAATGAAAATACGTTTTTGAGACATTATAATTGCATTTTTCAAAAATCATGAAAATGTAGTACAAGAAGCCTTGCCAAGATAAATGGATAGTAATGGCATCCTACCAAACATCCAGTAAGCCTTTGTTGTTATTTGTGGCCTAAAATTGAAAACCTGACATTTATGACATCAAATTGGTGTAACTGGTAACTGATTATTTTAAAACAGCAGAGGAGTACTTGCATCCATTTTTTATAAGTCATGAATTCTTAGGTGCCACCTAAATATGCATTTGTGCTATTCTTTCAATTCTTCAATTTCATATTATTTATGCATGATTCTCAAGGGTTCTGCCAGTTGATTCATTTTGTCCATTTCCCTGCAGATATTGATGAATGTGCTGAAAACACTTGTTCCCAAATCTGTGTCAATTCTCCAGGAAGCTTCACATGTTATTGTGATGGCAAGAAAGGTTTCAAGCTTTCCAAGGATATGACAACTTGTGAGGTGAAATACAATTGTAATTATTTTTATTTTTTCTTGATGCCAAGAGACAGCTAAACATCTTTTACCATCCATTTCTGCACTCTGCAATCTGATTTACTGATCTATTCATAACTTTCTCTCTCTCTGTATTCAAAGCAATTTATTTTTTATTACTTAGATTTATATTCTTCTTTTCCTCTGAAATTTCAAAGCAGCAGCCTCTAATTATATCTACTAATATATCAATACAACAGCAGTTATATTGATCTAATTATATATGTTGATTTAATTATATCAACACAACAGCAGTTTTGTAAAGTAAGTTGGGGGTTGAGAAAAGTCTCTTGGACAGATTTCTTGGCTAAGGTGGCCTCGAAACAGAGTTCCTATATATTAATAAAATATATGTTCTTATTACTTGAAAACTCTACATGACATAGGAACAGGTTAGTTGAAAGATTGCCTTCTGCCAAGAATATCTGCACACCCCACACATTCCCAGAAGGTTCCATCTACGAATGCATTTCTCTGATTACCTCTGAAAGGTACTGTCTTCCCACTATTCAATACACCACTCTTCTTGCCTTCAGAAAAGCCCTTAATACCTGGCTCTTAATCGCCAAAGCATTAAGGGCTACTTAGGAATCCCCTGTGATTGTTTTGTTATGTACTTAAATGGTCCCCAAGCTCTGAGGCTTGGCAGCCGGTGGAATGTTGTTGAATGTATGTTTGAATGTTTATTTTATTTATATGCTGCCCTTTTCCCCCGAAGGGGACTCAGGGCGGCTCACAACTCAACNGCTGTTACCTTCCCACCAAAGGTGGTTCCTATTTTTCTACTTGCATTTTTACATGCTTTCAAATTGCTAGGTTGGCAGAAGCTGGGACAAGTAATTGGAGCTCACTCCATTACGCAGCACAAAACTGCTGAGCTTTCTAATCGACAAGCTCAGTGTCTTAGCCACTGAGCCACCGCATCACTTCTTGCAGTGAATACACACACACACACAAACATACACACACACACACAGCTGTGTGAAAAAGTCCTGCACTGTTTACGGTTTGCGGTTTTTGACATTTTTTGGATAGGCCATTGATTTTATTATATTTTATGCTAACTGCTATTCAAATATTGTTGTATTTAAATAAATACTGGTGGTTTTTAAGTGAAAAGCATAAGCTTTTTGCAATTTGGTGCTGTTTGGATGGAAATTGTGAATTTTCTTGCATGCTTACAATGCATACTTACACTTACAATGACTATGAAAACAGATTAACTGATGCACACCCAGTGGAATACATGTTGCAATTATTAAGGCCAATGCTAGTGTTTTGTTAACATTTTTATTGTTTGTGGCCCTGAAAAGGACCATTTAGGTAACCAAACATAGTTACTAATATGAAGTTGGCCAGCCCTTATTAGTTATCACCAGGCGGCATTGCTTTGGCATAGACTGTATAAGCCTTTGCACATGATCTTTGGTGACAGTGTGGTGCCAGGCTGCAATAATGGATTCAATCAGCTCCTGCTTGGTCTTCGGATGCTTCTTGCTTATTTTGTAACCAATCTTGGCCCACAAATTCTCAATTGGGTTCAAATCCGGGCTCTGAGCTGGCCAATCCTGGAGTGGAACACCATACTTCTTCATCTACTGCTGGATGGACTTGGCTCGATGACAAGGAGCGTTATCATGCTGGAAGTAAAAGTCCTTCCCTACACATTGCTGAGCTGAAGGAAGCATGGTCTTTTACAGGACTTCAACGTACTGCTTGGAATTCATGATTCCTTGCACAATTTGTATCCGACCAATACCAGAAGCAGCCCCAGATGACCACGTGCAATGGGTGCTTCACAGATTCAGGCAGTACGGCCTAAATTCTTCAGCTGGAAATCTTCTGACATACTTATTGCACTGATTCCCAGTCAAGTAGAAATTGCTCTTGTCAATGAAGATGTCCTTGGCCCACTGTTTGTTGGTCCACTTGGCATACTTCTTGGCCCACACACGTCGATGAGAGCAGTGACCTTCTGTGAGCAAAGGTTTACTTCAAGCCCTGCAGCCTTTGAGCCCTCTGGTAAGCAGTCTGAGACGCACTGTGCTTGTGCACACTTTTACATCACATGTTTCACCCCAAATTCTTGTAATCTGAGGTGAGATGAGCTTCCTGTCAACCATCGAAATGCATTGCAAAGCCCGATCTTGCCGTTTTGTCAACTTTCTTGGTCTTACAGAGTGGAGTCTGTCATCAACTGAACCAATTATTTGGTATTTTTCAACCACTCTGCTCACTGTGGTATGATGGCATTTCACTCTCTTGGCTATTTCTGTACAGGAGTAACCCTCTTTACGAAGCAAATGATGTGATGCTGCTGCTCAGTACTGGTGAAAGTAAAGGCCTTGATCCTGGTCTGCAGCCAGATCTAAATTAAATTTCTCAATGCTTTTCATGCCTATTTATAGTCAGAGAGTA